CGGGGACAAATTGTTACACTTGCCCCATTTTTGTGGTTTTCTTTGGGCAACTGCTTCTGACCACTATCAGAGACAGGGTTCTGTGAAAGATGGACACTTAGAAGCTGCTCACCTCTAGCTGCTCACCTCTAATGGGAAGGCCATTTTTAAGATAATTGTAAATATTCAGCATTCCAGATACATGGTTAGGACTTCAGTGTACATATCCTGATATGAATTCATAACAAATTGACAATGTATTTTTGACTGTTCAAATATATTTGAATTTAAGTTAAGTAAAACTAGACAGCTATCCCCCTGGCTACTCTTTTCATTCCTGAGATTATTACAACAGACAGGTAAAAAATTAACAAGTAGCATTGTTGAATTGACTCAACTGATCAGCAAATTGGTGTAGCAAAATAATCCCCACAAGCTTTCTGGAAAAATACCTTCAACTTTCTTTCACCTCTAATTAATATAAATTGCTCTGGGTTATGTAGAAGTACAGAGGTTTATAACAGAAATATCAAAGGTAACATAAATGTATTGAGAACTAAAGTGTAACAGTGCAAGGGTTAAAACAAGGAGTTCCTATTAGTAACGAGGGACCACTACCTAAAAGATTTAAAAGATGTGCCCAGAAACCCTTTTGTCATTGCCAGTCAAGAGGAACCTCAGCCACAGTGAGGCCTTAGCATTTGGTGTCTCTTGTATGCTACATTGCACAGAAGGGATCCTGGTCATGCCACTCAAATACATAGATCTTGCTGGTTATAATTAAGTGCAAAAATGTTAGTGTGCTAAATCAATTCGCTTGATATAACAAAACAATTTGCTTTTGTATAACAAAATCCCTTTCTTCCATCCACTAGATGTCACACTGAATTTTGTTACAGTAATAGCCCTACAGAATTAGTTCCTGCACTGGTCATATCTGCTCAGAGTGTAATAAGTATTTCAGGCTTACCATAGAGGGACACCCCTGCCTTTAAATGAGGATTTTTCAGCATCAGATGTTGCACAGCTGCTCCACCCCAGCAAAACCCAATGACACCAATCTTCTTTGCACCACATTGGTCCCTTAGATACTTGAGGACGACACCAACTTCTCTGAGACATGCAAATGAAAGTGAATTAAGGCTCTAGCTCTGTTCCCCTGGCCTCCATGGTGGCTGCTTCTCAGAGACTGGATGGGCATCACTCTGCTTCTGGGAGGGAGCAACTGCCTTTGCATCGCTCCTGGTTTTTCTCTTTCCCTTACTTATCAAATTGTCTTTATCTCAACCCGTGAGTTTTCTTACTTTGTTTCTCCTATTCTCTCCCCTGTTCCTCTTGGGGGACTGAGTGAATGGCATTACAGGTGCTTGGCTGCTGGCTGGGGCCAACCCGCAACACTACTTTACTATTATTCATTTCTAAAATACAGGAGAAACTCAAGGGGAGAAGACAAAGAAGAAAGTCAGTCTTTCTACATCACTGTTACTAGGACATAGGGTGATTTTATAAACAGCAGTCCAATTAATTTCACAAATAGCAATAGTTGTCGTACAGGCTAACACAAATAAAAGTTTGAGACACACAGCCAGTCAAGAGCACCCCGTTATGGAAAATCTGACCTATAGTTAAACTATCTCCAACCAGGAAGACAAATAGTTTATAAAATTGTGGAAGCAAATTTAAAATTGTTGCTTCTAAATCACCAGAAACATTATGCAATCAAGCTATATGTCAGATAAAAATGGGGAAAATATAGAAGAGCGGGAAATTAGTATGCTTTGAACTAGCTGTTCCCTAGTTACACAGTGTTCGGTGACTGCACTTGAACCCAGTCTAAAATCCGCGGAAGTTATGCCTACCTGCAGGAACTGAATCAAACTGAAGAGGAAGGAGTGAGCTGCATTTTCTAGCCTTTGCTGGTTCTTTTCATTTTAGTCACTCATTTCACTTCTACTCTCTGCACAGGTAAACAGTGGGTGCTTTTATTCTTGTTCAAACTTCTACTTTTCTCCAAAAAGCACCCATCACATAACAATGAGCTTATCCCGTGAGCTACATGAAATTTCTATTTGTGGACATCCAACTATATTTGACCCACTAATAATCTAGGATCTAATGCTGCATCTTTACTGAGGCAAAAATCCCTGTGAAATAAGTATGTCCACTCGCTGGACAAGGAACAACAGCTGTACTTGTCTATTTTGCCGGCATTTCGGGTTTTCACCCATTCATCGAAAGTCCCCCAGTCATTAGAAGGTTTCCAAGCTCCTTGTCCCACAAAAAAATCTGGGCAGATGGCTCTGTAAGAAAAATGAAAATATTTTATGCCCATGAAATAATAATGAGAAAGGATTAAAGCAAAGTCCATGTGTACTACACAACAAATTAATTTTGTTGAATACATATAGTACTTAATTTACATGAAAGTATTATACTAGCAACCCTCAATATTTTCCTACATCTAAAAAGGAGACAGTATAATTTGCAGATACATTTTGCTCTGTTAAAATTCATTCATTAATTTGATAAATAGCTAACTGTAACTGAAAATCCTTAGTGGTTTCCTACCAAATTTTTAAAAAACCAACCACATGCATGGCATGTACATTTGGGATAGAAGGAACGCCAACCCAGTAATATAGGAAAGTAGATACCAAATATGTTTTTCAAATATTTGAGAACTTGTTTCTTTCTTTGGCATGAGCTGGTACACTTTACCCACACTGAAAGACCTTCAGCTTCTTTGCAATTTTTACCATAACAACAAAGTTACACAGAGGCTACATCAAGAGGGAGGAAATAGGCCATTTCAGGTTCATGCAAGATGGAAGATGCAGAATAACATTTATCTCTATCTTATGTGCTTACCTACTAACTTATTATGGTAGGACTACTGAACTCTTTTAGACATTTTTCCACTGTTTTAATGGGAAAGTTGCTAGAGAAAGGTGTAGGGAAAGTCTATGAAATTATTAGTGTTTGTGGGTTTATATGAGAACAGAAAATAGTAGCTCAACAAACTTTCTTATTAAAAAGACACTTGAAAACAGTAATATTTCTTACATGTATCCATTAGTTGTTAGCATATCAGCTATGTATCTGGTGTTTGGGAGTTGCCATCCAAATATATCATGAATCACAATCACGGCTTTGTCTGTGCTGGCAGATGGTTTGCAAACATATGCCTTGATGTGCTCAACTTGTACCTCCTGCCCACGGCCTCCATAGTCAAACCTGTCTCCAATATCACATGGGCAGGGCCTTGATTCATTAGCCATGTGTGATACTAAAGAACAAAAAATATTTAGTTGTGAATACCAAAGCATACCACATCGAAAAAGTTCAAAAGACAGTGGTATCATAAACTGTTCGATTTTTTAATCATTACAGTAATATACTGAACATGCTCAATACTGTTTGATCTAAAATGCAGTATTAGTCAATAAACCCACTGGAGTGTTTTTTTAAATAAGAATCTTGTTAGAGTTACTTATGAACTCTTCAGGAGGGACCAGGTACATAACTAGGAGTTCCATGCCCTACAGTAAGTACTGTGATAAAAATAAAGTTATGAGCAAGCAGTCAGGCAACCATCACGAATTATTTACTTAGTGATAAAAGTCCTTTTTACAGTTCTTTCACTCTTCACCATGTGTATTTCCTGTCAGGAATGTATAACTTTCTTTAGTATACTCTGCGAAGGCTTAATACAAGACTTAGTATTTTGAAGGAAAAAAAACCCCAGCTACTGTGTAGGAAGATATAATTACACTCAGACTAAATATTTTCCTCCAGAGAGTTAAAATATTCCATAGCTGACTTTTTCAATGTCAATAAATCCTTTTTCTAAATAGCTTTAGCCTCAGATGTTGCAGACTTCTGAAAAAGGATACGTAGGAGAGGTGCCAAGAAAAATATACCAGCAGAAGTCAGAGTATATCGTATTTATTTAATATTAAATAAAGAACACATTCAAACTCCAAGACAGGGGAAAAAATCCTTAAGTGGAGTCAAAGCTTTTATCAAACAGGTAATAGAGTGGTATGGTTAATTTTTTTCAAACTATTGCTTAAATGAAAATAAACAATTCACAAAGGTCAAAAAGTGCCAGCTGAATCTAACACGGATGTATGTAGCTCCTTGGACTCAAGTTAATGATTTCTTGCCATCAACCTTAGGTTAACCAAGTGAGTGAACTTACCTGAATAACTTCATTGAATATGCACAGAGCATCTCCAAATGATTAAAGAACATGGAGAGAATTTAGGTAAAGCTTTATGTAAACTCTCTACAGATAAATTGTTTGTACTACCAAAGAAAACTTTGTTAGTACAGAAACAGGGATGTTCAAACTTGACTGTGCCAAATGTACTCACAGAGAGAAACAGGAAAAAGCAGATTACTGAACCATTCCTGGATGAGTGGGACTTAAATAATTGTGGCATTGAAGGGACAGTTTTAGGAAAACAAACAAACAAACAGTCTGGCAGTCAGAAGAATTGCACAGATTTCCAGAGACCAAGATCATCTGAATTTGCAGACTTTAAAACTCAGAATATCTCAAACAATACTACCAGAGCTAGATTGCAGATCCTGTGAGATTTCACTTAAGCGTTTATTTGAAGACCAAACAATAACTAGTTTTCAGAGACTTGAATCTACAACCACAAAAATATAAATATATTGCTGTGTGGCACTTTCATTTTCAATACACTCTCCTGAGTCTTCCTGCTGAGAGGTCTTCCCCACCTCTGGAGGGAAAATAAAAGATTTCTGAATCATCGTCTAAAAAAAAAAACCAAACAAAACCAACAAAACAAAAACCAGGAAAAAAAATAGCCTCCAGTTGCATTTAAATGAGCTCGCACCCCTTAAAAAAGCACGCAGATAAAATCCCCCAAACATGCTGAGTCAGATCTCAGTACGCACTTGTTCTACATTTCTCAGAAGAAAAAGCAGTGAGAGCTTAAAGAAAACCACCAACAACAAGACAAACTGCACACATACCTGCAGCACAGCAAGCGTGCGAGACAGTAGACGCAAGATGCCGGAGCTCAGCGTGGATGAATGGGATTCCAAAAGAAAGCGCTAACGCACAAAATCAAAGGGTGAGTGCAAAGATCCTGTTTCTTTAAATCAGGGTTACATAAGCCTTTATCTTGGTGTCTCGCGCAGTGACCAAGTCCGCTCTTTTTAACCCGTTTTCACCGCGAGTGTAGGCGGGGTGTGCTGCCGCGGGGAGCGCTGCTGTAGCTGCGCACCAAGCCTTCTTTTTCACTTACACAAAATGGTATTAAGCATGACTTAGCTGAGCAATCCATCTAGAAAAAACCGTGTTTACATTTTTTTTTTTTTGGGTTGGTTCGATTTGCTTTTTGGTTATTTGTTTGTTTGTTTGTTTTAAGGGTGTTTCTTTGCTTTTAAAGGTTGGGGAATTATCACTTTTGACCATTACATTGGCATTATCAGTTCTTTAGACTATTCATACTTGGGTAAAAGACATATTTAAAGTCATCAGCAAGGTGAGCAAAGTAGAGACACCATTTCAAAGCTTATACATCACAGGAAAAATATTTACTATTTTCAGAGTGAATTAAGCAGCATATAAGAAAGTAACAGCTTTGTAGACTGCTGTACAATGTGTTTAAAATACTGATACACTCTTATCCTATCACAGGACATTTTATACAATTTTTTACTTTTTGAATTAAAGTCTCTGACTGTATCCTCCACATTCTTCTGATTTTCTTTTTATGGGATTATTAGAATTATTCCTTAAAGAGCTTTAACTAAATATATTAGCAATCCAAAATTCACTGTTTCCTCAGAGACACATCTAAAAAGTAGACTAAATGCACATTAGTCCACTACACTTCTGTCTTACAATTTAGTCTTCATATAGAAGCTGTTTTCTATTATTCTAAATAACTTTGCTAGTGCTCTTTGTTTGCAATCCCTAAAATGAAGTCGAACAAATGACAAAAAGCCTACCCAAGAATTACAGAGCAAAGTCATAAGGCTCAAAATCAAACGTTTTTGGGTTGGGTTTTTGGCTTTTCCCACTTGTGTACTACAGATTATAGGACACAAGTTGCTTAGATACTCCATAGCAACTTTAAAGAACAGTAGCCAAATAAATGAGACAAAAACTGGGAATTTGCATCATTCCTAGAAAAAAAAAATTACAGCAATGCTTGCAGAACCTTCTCTCCGCTAGAGCTGTTTAAACACATTTCCACTTTCTTAGTCATGTGGCTCTAGAAATAATTCTTTATACGTAAGACTATTACCCTGTACCTTAATATTAACATTAAACTTTAGAAATGAAACTTCATTTAATTTGGTTTCCTGTTGTTTCATGTTTCTTTTCAGGCAATCCATGCTGTTTTTTCACTTGAAAGTCAAATCTTAATTCAACACATCCATGATCTCTGGACATGCAGTTGGCTGCACTTCATACTGTAAACACACGCCTCTTTCGGATCTCGTATGTCCAGCTCTTACTTAGTGACTTACGGTTTTATCAAGAAGATTTGGTTGTACTTGTAGTAGCTCACAGCTGCCCTTTCACTTCAAACAAATGCTGCATCTCAGTTTGGTTTGGTTTTGGTTTTTTTTTTTCCTTAGTCACGGTGTTAGTGTTACAGCACACATGCCGTTCCAGCATTTATGAATGACTGCTCTTCTCTAAATAGATGTCCTGATTGTCCTCTAGCACATTAGCTTACCTTCTAATGCTCATGGAACATCAATAATGTGGAGTTGTCAAGGTTAGACACTGGGATAATTAAGGTATCATAAACTTCTAAACCTCTACATTCTTCTCCTGGAAAAGATGTGTTATGACAGCTGTATCACCCAGATAACAGCTGTATCAATATATTACATTAGATGGTATCATATGAAAAACAACAGTTAATCAGCAGTTGCAGACCAGAATTCTCTGAAGACCTCCTCATGGGAAAGATGGCGGGGGGGGGAGGATATTAGCAGCATATAAAGGAGGAAAACACATGTGGGAAAAAGCAAATGAAATTAAAATCCAATGAAGAGAGATAAGGTTCATTAATACTGTTGACTATTTTTACATGAAACACACCACAATATATATTTCTCTGACAGTATATTTAATTTGAGAGACTGTCACTAGTAAAATTAAGACTTCCCTAAATTACATTTTCTCCCCATTAAATTCCATACAGTCTTCATCAGTAGCACTGATAAGGTGAAAAGAGATGTACAATCATTTTTGGTTTTCTTATAACTTTAGAGGTACCAGCACCTGGTGAAGACAGGAGGCACCTGGTCTCAAACTAACAATCAGAAGCCTTTCATCCCATGAGGCAAAATTGAGCAGTGTAAGTCACCGTCATAAGATACGCTAGAGAGCAGCAGATCAAGAAAGCTTAAAGAGGGACTAGCAAATCCTCAGAGGTTTGGTCCACCAGTGGCCATTGGACACAATGCTCCAGTGGGAATATCCAGCTCAGGAATCCCCTGAAGGACAGGTTGCCAGGATGTTTCACAAGAGAGGATATTTCCTACACAGTCACTGCTGGACACAGATGGAGGCTGGGTGCTGAGGTGGATGCAATCTTGAGCTGATGCAACACAGAGAATTTTGTTTCATATCATTGCTGGGAAAAGTAGGTAACAAGATATAATTATGCAAAACTATGCAACATTTCTCCTTTAGGCAGTAGCCATGGTTGGAAGCCCCACATTAAATGCTTTGTCTGCAGATTGCATTGTACATTTCAATTCCTAACCTGACCAGGAAAGCATCTATAGAGTTTCACAGAGCCACAGGTAATCTGAGAAAGTAGTATACCATCTGAATAACCTTAGCTACAAATTTTGAAACAAGATATGACCCCTTACAACACCTGTTAAATACACATCTACCACCAGGGTACGAGTCAAAAAATCCTCATTTCTCAAAATGAGCTTTGCCAAACAATGTATTTGTGTCCCTAAATTTTCAACTTGTGACTTATGTGGAACTTAGACAAACAGTGGTCACAATACACAAACAGATTAATTTACCATTAGTCTAACTTATTTCAAACATTAAGGTAAATCTCAAGGAACTGGAGGATATTTCAAAGCGTATTAAAACATGTCACCAACTTTTACGGTAAGGTTCTAGACAATTTGTTACAATATAAGGGCAGGTCTTACAATCTGCAAAGATATGGACAGAACAGCAGTATTTCCTATATGTGAAATCTATGACAATGCTAGATACACTATAACTGAAAAAAAAGCCTCTTAAAAACACCTACGGATGTGGTTTGTTGTGTCCTACATAGTTTATAGGTTCCTAGGACCAATAGAAAGCTGTCATACAACAAAACTCCCCCAGCAGATTACTGTAAAACAGCAGTGGGATTTTGATAAAACTTTTTAACTTGGGTTTAGTAGCCATACTTTTACAAAAGAAAGAGACTTAAGAAAAAAAATAATCTAGATTTCATACTTAGCCCTTCTATGTCTAGCTCTGTTTTCCTGCTTGTTTTTTTGATCATCAAACATTATTATGAGGCTGAATTTTTACTCCCAATTCAGAATGGAAATTTAAACATGCAGAAATCAAAAATTATGGTTATTAGCATACTCAGTGAAGGGGAATGAAGTCATATCTTTCAGCAAAAATGAAAAATGTAGGGTTCAGGAAACTGGATAGATCATCAGAATCTTTGATTACACTCTGTTCCTGGATGAAGTTCTAGCTCTGCAGCACGCAGAGGAGTAGTAAACAGGAAAAAGGAAGCTAAATCGGGAAGGTGACCAAAGAACAACATGTATGTCCGTCCAGACCTAAAATAAAGACACGGCTGCTATGACCCATTCTGAAAATAGGAACGAATATCCTCACCACTATTTTCTTTGCATAATATCCTTCCAGCTGATGGAAATATCTCTCTTCATCAGCTAACAGCCTCATTTGAAGAAATAATGCTAGATCAAGTACTTAAGATACACAACATGCATATGCACAGTGTTTACCTCCTTGTATTTACCTACCATAGAGAGATACATCAGCCTTTAATTCCCAGTGTGGCATCATCAGGTGATGTACAGAAACACCACCCCAGCAAAAACCAATGATCCCTAATTTCTTTGCACCACACTGTTCCTTTAGATATTTCAGGACAGCATCTGCTTCTCTAGAACTATAATTAAATGCAAATGAAGCAACCATAGTAAAACCAGTATTTGAAATATGAAAAGAAAATATAGAGATGCATATAAGTGTCCCGACATCGTGCTGCAACTATATTTTCTTTCATATACTTCATATAAATTATTATTTCAGGTAAACCTTAGGGGTTACTAATCTGAAATCATCAGAGAGAGAAAAAAAAAAGAGAAGCCAATAGAATTCAATAAAAAGCAATATAAATAATATATATCAAAGGAAATGTAAAGAGATAGAAAGTAGATGATTGATTCCACACTATGTAAGAGTTAAAAAAAGCTTAATGTTCTCTGAGAAGCTGGATAAATTTTTGCTTAATAAATGTTGATTAAAAAGTAATAAAAACCTCTCTGGAGAATACTATTTGTTAGCTAGTCAAAATGCTGACAATAACTGAAGTTAGTATTTGTTGCAGGGAAGTCAATGTAAAAAACATGGTAGATGTTTTCAGATTTTACAATGTAGCCTGAAATACTTTTTGGCTAGATGCTGAGTTCTGAAAATACTCATTTACCCCTGAAGCATCTGTCACCATGCAGAGGCAGTAAAAAGAAAGTTTAGGTGGGAGAGAGGTGGCATTTAAGGCTTTTGTATCACCTCAAGGCTGTGTTTTCAGACCTGTTTCCTCCCCCCTTGGTCATGCAAGCTATATATGCCATCAATAAACCAGCTTCGCAAATAGCACATTATCTGCCAATGCACAAATGCATACAGAAGCAAATTAACTGCCAAAAAATTCTTTCCTCACTGCAGCTGACACTTGAAACGTGTGAATTGCCTGTAAGAAATGCTAGGCAGTGCCCAACCCTGCCTTCCCATTGCAGCAGAGAGGGGACAGATTCCAAACTAGAAGGGTTTCTACAACTGAGCCCTCTGAGACAGGAACTCTCTGGAAATGATTCAGTT